GTGTCCTCCACGGCTTCACCAACGACATCAGGATCATCCACAGCCTCATCGACAACTCCTGTGTCCTCCACGGCTTCACCAACGACATCGGGATCATCCACAGCCTCATCGACAACTCCTGTGTCCTCCACAGCTTCACCAACGACATCGGGATCGTCCACAGCCTCATCGACAACTCCTGTGTCCTCCACGGCTTCACCAACGACATCGGGATCGTCCACAGCCTCATCGACAACTCCTGTGTCCTCCACGGCTTCACCAACGACATCGGGATCGTCCACAGCCTCATCGACAACTCCTGTGTCCTCCACGGCTTCACCAACGACATCGGGATCGTCCACAGCCTCATCGACAACTCCTGTGTCCTCCACGGCTTCACCAACGACATCAGGATCATCCACAGCCTCATCGACAACTCCTGTGTCCTCCACGGCTTCACCAACGACATCGGGATCGTCCACAGCCTCATCGACAACTCCTGTGTCCTCCACAGCTTCACCAACGACATCGGGATCGTCCACAGCCTCATCGACAACTCCTGTGTCCTCCACAGCTTCACCAACGACATCGGGATCGTCCACAGCCTCATCGACAACTCCTGTGTCCTCCACAGCTTCACCAACGACATCGGGATCGTCCACAGCCTCATCGACAACTCCTGTGTCCTCCACGGCTTCACCAACGACATCGGGATCGTCCACAGCCTCATCGACAACTCCTGTGTCCTCCACAGCTTCACCAACGACATCGGGATCGTCCACAGCCTCATCGACAACTCCTGTGTCCTCCACAGCTTCACCAACGACATCGGGATCGTCCACAGCCTCATCGACAACTCCTGTGTCCTCCACGGCTTCACCAACGACATCGGGATCGTCCACAGCCCTCATCGACAACTCCTGTGTCCTCCACAGCTTCACCAACGACATCGGGATCGTCCACAGCCTCATCGACAACTCCTGTGTCCTCCACAGCTTCACCAACGACATCGGGATCGTCCACAGCCTCATCGACAACTCCTGTGTCCTCCACGGCTTCACCAACGACATCGGGATCGTCCACAGCCTCATCGACAACTCCTGTGTCCTCCACGGCTTCACCAACGACATCGGGATCGTCCACAGCCTCATCGACAACTCCTGTGTCCTCCACGGCTTCACCAACGACATCGGGATCGTCCACAGCCTCATCGACAACTCCTGTGTCCTCCACGGCTTCACCAACGACATCGGGATCGTCCACAGCCTCATCGACAACTCCTGTGTCCTCCACGGCTTCACCAACGACATCGGGATCGTCCACAGCCTCATCGACAACTCCTGTGTCCTCCACGGCTTCACCAACGACATCGGGATCGTCCACAGCCTCATCGACAACTCCTGTGTCCTCCACGGCTTCACCAACGACATCGGGATCGTCCACAGCCTCATCGACAACTCCTGTGTCCTCCACGGCTTCACCAACGACATCGGGATCGTCCACAGCCTCATCGACAACTCCTGTGTCCTCCACGGCTTCACCAACGACATCGGGATCGTCCACAGCCTCATCGACAACTCCTGTGTCCTCCACAGCTTCACCAACGACATCGGGATCGTCCACAGCCTCATCGACAACTCCTGTGTCCTCCACAGCTTCACCAACGACATCGGGATCGTCCACAGCCTCATCGACAACTCCTGTGTCCTCCACGGCTTCACCAACGACATCGGGATCGTCCACAGCCTCATCGACAACTCCTGTGTCCTCCACGGCTTCACCAACGACATCGGGATCGTCCACAGCCTCATCGACAACTCCTGTGTCCTCCACGGCTTCACCAACGACATCGGGATCGTCCACAGCCTCATCGACAACTCCTGTGTCCTCCACGGCTTCACCAACGACATCGGGATCGTCCACAGCCTCATCGACAACTCCTGTGTCCTCCACGGCTTCACCAACGACATCAGGATCATCCACAGCCTCATCGACAACTCCTGTGTCCTCCACGGCTTCACCAACGACATCGGGATCGTCCACAGCCCTCATCGACAACTCCTGTGTCCTCCACGGCTTCACCAACGACATCGGGATCGTCCACAGCCTCATCGACAACTCCTGTGTCCTCCACGGCTTCACCAACGACATCAGGATCATCCACAGCCTCATCGACAACTCCTGTGTCCTCCACGGCTTCACCAACGACATCGGGATCGTCCACAGCCTCATCGACAACTCCTGTGTCCTCCACGGCTTCACCAACGACATCGGGATCGTCCACAGCCTCATCGACAACTCCTGTGTCCTCCACGGCTTCACCAACGACATCGGGATCGTCCACAGCCTCATCGACAACTCCTGTGTCCTCCACAGCTTCACCAACGACATCGGGATCGTCCACAGCC